GCCTCCCAAGTAGCTGGGACCACAGGCGCCCGCCACAACACCCGGCTATTTTTTGGTTGCAGCCATCATTGTTTGGCGGGTCTGGGTTGGATTCGAATCCGCCACCTTAGGTGTATGTGGCTGGTGCCTTAGCCACTTGAGCCACAGGCGCTAAGCCTTAAAGTTTTAATAATGGCATGTGGTTACATTTTTAAAACTTCCTTATATTTTAAAGATCAACACTTATAAACATGATGTCTAAAACTGCTTCAAAATACTCCAAGAAAAAACTGCAAGAATAAAAACAAGATAACCAAGTAATGATGCCAACAAATGGGTGCATGGTAGTTATCAGTTTATCAGCTATTCTTATTACTTTTATGTTCAAAAATTTCCATAATTCCTGAAATTACTTTCTGGGTTTGAGATGTCTTCATGAAAGCATAGCTTCTTTTCCCAATAAACCACTGTGTCAACAGATCAGAAAACAACACCACACACATTTACAAAAAGGACATGGAGTCAGAAGATTATGTATCAACCTTACAGATGCTAAACAGGTTTGCTAATCATGAGCTAATGATCCTATTTCAGAAATGCCTCAAAGTTTTTAAGTCTTCATCTGAAAGGCAGCTTGTGTGAAAGTTGCCAAGGCCAACATGGAGTCATTTATAAACAGATCCAGGGCAAAGCAGAGCCTGGAGGTCATAAAGGAGCCTTCCATCCACACGTCTGAGTAAGTACTATCACAAGGACTTTCTAAAATCCACACGGAATCCCTGTATGATTTGTTCATCTTGCTTGTCCTACACATCTGTATGAAGACTTTATTACAAAAAAATTCCTCAAGACTGAAGCATTTCAGATAAGGACCCACATAAGAACATGTTTAGCAACGACTGTTTCCACCAATGAGTTAACATAGTGCCTACAATAAGCCCCTGTGACCAACAATATCTGTTTCAAAACAGCTTACGTGGACTTCTTTTTCCCTTTAAAAGTTTCCCCTTACCACAACTTCTCTAGATGCATCTATGATTCATCATAACATATGCATCCCAGATTATAATCCTCTATTTATTCCCAAATTCATTTCTTGGCAAAGCCACTCTCTATTGTTATTTTAGGTTTACACTTCCAAGTACACCAAAAAAAAAAAAAAAAAAAAAAGAGCTCCTTGCCCTATTTCAGAGCCTTGATACAGAGAAAGAAAATGCTTCTGGGTATTAAAAAGACAGATTTGTATTACCTATGGAAGTCCATGATGGAAATTCAGGAGTTAAGAGCAAGTAAGAAACAACTGAGTTTGAAGAATTCAGAGAAAACCTCATGAACTTTCATCAATGATCTGGTGAGACAGTATCCTCTGCCTCCAGAAATGCAGCCTCAGCACTGTGAGCTTCAGTGCTGCTCACTCCCTTCTCCAGGAATCACCTCCATATACTCTCAACAGGCCAAAAGATTAACTAAAGAATGAAGCTCTGAAAAATGAGGAAATCTTTATTTCAAATACTGCCCAGACACAGGCATAGCACATAAACTGTACCTGGAGCACAGCAAGCTAATCAGCTCCATAGATAGATAAATATGTGCACCAGAGGGCCAGGCAGTGACTCACGCCTATAATCCTAGCACTCTGGGAGGCTGAGGCAGGTAGATTGCCTAAGCTTACAGGTTAAAGACCAGCCTGAGCAAGAGTGAGACCCTGTCTCTAAAAAAAAAAAAAAAA